CGGCGCCCCCTCCGGCTCCCACAGCGCTGGGGAGCCGAGAAGAGTCTGGGGGGGGGTGAGTAAAGGTGGCGCCGGGGCGAGTCTCATTTCCAGCGTGTCTGGGCCCGGAATAGTGATAGAAATGGAGCCGTGTTAGTCTGGGGTAGTTGAAGCAAAATGCAGGACAATGTAGCACTTTACAGACTAACAAGATGGTTTATTAGGTGATGAGCTTTCGTGGGCCAGACCCACTGTGCGAGTCAAGTCTGGGGGGGGGTGAGTAAAGGTGGCGCCGGGGCGAGTCTCATTTCCAGCGTGTCTGGGCCCGGAATAGTGATAGAAATGGAGCCGTGTTAGTCTGGGGTAGTTGAAGCAAAATGCAGGACAATGTAGCACTTTACAGACTAACAAGATGGTTTATTAGGTGATGAGCTTTCGTGGGCCAGACCCACTGTGCGAGTCAGGAGCCGGCACCATCTCAGAGACGTGACACGAGGAAGAAGACTGTAAAGAGCAGTTCAGTGCGCCTGCTGGACGGCTCACCCCACCCTAGTAACTTGGGACCCAATGGCACGAGACAGTGACTCATCCAAACTGGCTGTGGTGACCATGCCCTGAAATGGGAGCTTTGCCTTGCACCCGAGCAGAAGTGTGGTGTTTGCTTGTGTTCCTGGACCTCCTGTCAGTCCTTAGTAAGGTGTTAATATTAAACATCCCTTCTTAGGGTCCCCCCCCCCCAAGGGGTCACTATAACTGATTTATTCGTGGGATATTATTGGACACCTCGGAGCAAACGATATTCTCAAGTCTTCTTTGACTATGGCAAGTAACATCCTGTTTACTGGGCGCAGAACAAGACACGCCGGCCTCGGAGCCTAAGTGATGGCCCAGGAGGCCTAAGGATACTGCCAGGGCACAGGATGACTGCAGTATGGTGACGTGGGACCTTGCAACCTGTAACTGTGATTGTATAAACATCCAGAGAAAGCCCAAAGGAAAGGAGGCGTTTGTATTTCAAATCCCCATTGCTCTCCTATATACCGCTGAAAATATTTTGAAACATGAAATGTTTGGTCTTTGTTTTCTTGAAAGGCCAGAAATCAACTAAATCCCGAAGAGACCGTGGCTGAAAACAACCCCCAGGCAGGCAGTAAATCTGTATAGGCGGGCAGACACACTCAAACCCCGGGCAGGCGGTACACCTGTACAGGCGGACGGGCACCCCCCAGGCAGGCGGTACACCTGTACAGGCGGACAGACCCCCCCCAGGTAGGCGGTACACCTGTACAGGCGGACGGGCACCCCCCAGGCAGGCGGTACACCTGTACAGGCGGACGGGCACCCCCCAGGCAGGCGGTACACCTGTACAGGCGGACGGGCACCCCCCAGGCAGGCGGTACACCTGTACAGGCGGACGGGCACCCCCCAGGCAGGCGGTACACCTGTACAGGCGGACGGGCACCCCCCAGGCAGGCGGTACACCTGTACAGGCGGACGGGCACCCCCCAGGCAGGCGGTACACCTGTACAGGCGGACGGGCACCCCCCAGGCAGGCGGTACACCTGTACAGGCGGACGGGCACCCCCCAGGCAGGCGGTACACCTGTACAGGCGGACGGGCACCCCCCAGGCAGGCGGTACACCTGTACAGGCGGACGGGCACCCCCCAGGCAGGCGGTACACCTGTACAGGCGGACGGGCACCCCCCAGGCAGGCGGTACACCTGTACAGGCGGACGGGCACCCCCCAGGCAGGCGGTACACCTGTACAGGCGGACGGGCACCCCCCAGGCAGGCGGTACACCTGTACAGGCGGACGGGCACCCCCCAGGCAGGCGGTACACCTGTACAGGCGGACGGGCACCCCCCAGGCAGGCGGTACACCTGTACAGGCGGACGGGCACCCCCCAGGCAGGCGGTACACCTGTACAGGCGGACGGGCACCCCCCAGGCAGGCGGTACACCTGTACAGGCGGACGGGCACCCCCCAGGCAGGCGGTACACCTGTACAGGCGGACAGACCCCCCCCAGGTAGGCGGTACACCTGTACAGGCGGACAGGCACCCCCCCAGGTAGGCGGTACACCTGTACAGGCGGAC